TTTGCTTCACCTACTCGTTTTTCTTCACACCATCTTCTCGTTTCACGTATTCCCTTTGCTTTACAAATTTCTCTTGCTCACACCTTCCTCATCTTGCTCCTTGTTTTTCCCCACATTTTCTATCTCATTTTCCTCCAAGTCTTGGTATCTCTACCTATTGTCTTCTCCCATTTTTTAGCTTCTTTCTCCAAGTTTCTTATTATCCTGACAGTTTTCTTAACACTAATTTACACCCTGCAGTTTGTAAACGATTCCAAGAAAACTTTTGAAAGTTAATACGTAATGAGGGTCAAATTCAATATTATGTAGTGGTTTATATTTGTTATAATTAATTCCATGGGTCTGTAAATTCAGTAGGTATTTTATTTATTTTTTGTAAGGCAGAAAACTAAATATGATGCATGTAACTGGATTCCCTTAATAATAATGATGATTGTAATAATAATAGTACTGTACGCTTAATGATAATAAACATTTATTTATTAAAAAAAATTAATGGAAGTATGATTACATTGATTATTTTAAATGAATATGTTTGTTTTTTTGTAAAGCCACTACTCGTTCATTATATATCTTGCAGTATTGTTGCATAAAAATATAATGATATAATGTATGTTGACTTGCAGCTGTTGAACAATCAAGTTCACGATGTTCCTGTGGCCATTATTGCTAGCAACCGTCCCCATTATCTATACAGGTTAGTGGTAGTAATAAATTGTATTTATGTAACGTACATTACATCTGAAACATAACAGTGGAGTATTCACAAGTACAAGAATGTAAAAACATCAATGCTATATACTCTTATAAACCCAGTGTACCTTCTTGTATATAAATAAATCATATACTGTATGCAATGCCACTAATTAATCAGATGCCGTTGAATGTCCCCCAAATCCAATATAGATGTTGTTTTAATAAATGTAGATTGATCACTTTTGATCATTAAGTAATTGATGAGTGATCATATATTTGCAGGACATCAACATGGGGGTGTGAAGATATGGTTAAATAATACATTGATTTACAGGTCCCTGCGTTCCCTGCTGGCAGCACCAGGCGTCAACCCAGACATGATCACAGTCTTCATTGATGGCTACTATGAGGAACCTCTTGCTGTGACGAAGCTGTTTGGTTTGAGAGGGATACAACACACACCACTTGGGGTGAGGGAGCACAGTTTTCTCCTTGATGAATCCATTCAGCCTAATTTATTGGGGTTGTTTAAAATATCATCTTAAATTTTACTCGCTGGAGTGCATGCATAAGAATGAGATAGATAGATAGATAGATAGATAGATAGATAGATATCTCTCCCATTGAAAATAGAGGTGCAATAACTACTCCAAGTAAAAATTCTAAAAGCATTAGGGGACCCAAGACTTTACAACTCCCTTCTTTTAAATAAATAGCTGACTTCTTTCCATGTTTAAGAGGGAACTTGATAAACACCTTCAGAAGGTACTGATCAACTGGGTTGTGCACATAGAAATCACAATAGCATGATGCATCAAATGAACAAATCCACAAGGGCTATGATGAGGGTTCGAACTTACACCTGGGATGATCCCAGATGCTGCCTTAGTCGACTAGGCCACCACATGGTAAAAGAATTGCAACCGGGACCTCCACTGACTTCACACCGATCCTGCAGCCTCTCAGAGACACAAACCGAGGCCCTTGTGGATTTTTTTCATTTGATGCATCACGCTATTGTGATTAATGTGTATTGAAGTGAGGGTGAAGAGGTAGAACAGCTTGTTGGCAGAGCCCGAGTGCATGGGGAAATTGTGCAAAACCCTGGTTTGTCTCTCGCAGACCAGCATGTTTCAAACACTGTACAGTATTGAGTATTATTGTATTATTATAATTATTGTATTATAATTATTGTATTATATTATAATTATTGTATTATATTATAATTATTGTATTATATTATAATTATTGTATTATATTATTATACAATATAATACCTGTTGTTTAAGAGATAGGAATACTGTACTTAGACTTATTAATCCCCCCCCCCTTCCTTAGGCCAACTGCTGACCTTTCCTAGGATGCAACCTACAATTATTTCCTAACTCCGAGATACTTATTTTACTGCTAGGTGAACAGAGGCATCAGGTGAAATGAAATGTGCCAACCATTTCTGTCCTGCTCGAGGATTGAACGATTGTGTGTCAAAAACATAGACCACTGTGCCATGTACAGGACCAATAAGAGTACAGTTTTTTCACAGAAAATATATTACCTATCACAGTTTGTGGCATTTAAAAATCTATGTGATCCTACTGTATCTTCACAATTACCCTATCGTGCATTTTAAAATAGATGCCCCAGTTACAGTTCTCTAAACATCAAAATATTTTGTTGCTGGCATGACAGAATGGCTAATTGGGTGCAATTGGAGAAGTGGGCAAAAGTCTACCTCCATAAAAGATCAATGAATTTCTAAAATACTATAAATTTATTAAAAATATTAAACAGTACCTACAGTATTCCCAAGGCAAGCAAGTCTTGGATACATGTACTGTATGCACCTAGTTGTACTTGCCTAGTTGTGCTTGCAGGGGTTGAATTTTGCTCTTTGGTCCCGCCTCTTGACTGTCAATCGACTCAAATCAACTATGTCTAAATAAGACTTCTTACACTTGAATGCCTGAAAATTAAATTCGGCAGCAATTTTATATCTTAATATATTTGACATCGCTGTTATAACAGCTCTTGCAGAGAACAATACATTTTAATTTGGTTACTTTTCAGGTGAGGAATGCTCGTATAGCCCAACACTACAAGGCTTCACTGACGGCCACCTTCAACATCTTCCCAGCTGCTCGTTATGCTATAATATTAGAAGAAGACCTTGATGTCTCCCCTGACTTCTTTAGGTAAGTTAATAATATTAACAGTTATAACAGCAAGTTATTGCTGGAAGTTATAATATTATAATATGGAGTTTTAATAGGGGATTATTATAGGATTTATACTGTAATTAAAGTAGATGTAGTGTACAGTACATATATTTTTTAACTTTTGAAGAGGTACTACACAAAGACTAGCCCACAAATAATAAGTATATGGAATAATTTATAAAACACTAAAAGAATGAATAAAACAATGGTTTTAAAAAAGCAAAGGATATTCCTATATAGCAGAGAAACTAACTTGTAAAATATTGAGTACAGAATTACAAAGTTCCATTTTAAGACCAGCCCTTTTCATAATAAACGACAATATAAATGACAACATTGCAAACCACATCATTGAATTTGCAGATGACACAAAGATATATGGAAAAGTGAGAAGTGTAAGTAATATTTAACCCTCGAAAAATTATGTAGATGGACTCTACAGATGGTCACAAGGCTAGTCAGTGCTCTTTAATATTGACAAATGGACGAGCTAACATGTAGGACAAAGATAATAAATGTACTAAACAATAAATATAAACATTTATTATACTGTGTACAAAAAAAAAAAATTGAATATTTCAACATACCGCTGTTTTCAAATTTAATCCGTTCCCCAGAGACAGTTCGACAACTGAAAATTTGAAAACCAAAACGAATTTTCCCATAAGAAATAATGTAAAGGGAATTAATCCGTTCCACACACCCCTAAAATATTAACTTAAAAATACATTTTATACATAATACTACTGTACTCATATTTTGTACTACAGTATGTACAAGTATATCTTACCGTTATTGAGGAGTCTTGTTGACATATGGAAGACAGTGAGGAGGTGAGAGGAGTAGAGGTGTTAGTGTTTGGAAGGAGAGTCCCCCTTCTATTATAACATCGGGCAGTGATGACATTTCTGGGGTATTGTCTCTCCTACGTTTTGCAGGCATACTACTAGGACCTGGTTCTTTCTCACTGCTTGCTTATCTTACTTAGAATCTATCTAAATACACTTGTTTTTTTTCCGTACGTTTTAACATTGTCTGTGGCGAGACATCACATTCATTCACAATGAATGATCTCTTGTTTTTCCTCTATTGTCATCCTCACAACTATTTCCTTAGGTTGAACTTTACCACTGACTTTCTTGGGACCCATTTCATGATATATTACAATCACTTTTATGTTCAGAAACCCAAAAAGCACAAAAGCAATGAAATTCTTCACTAAGAATTCAAGCGCAGTCGTCACTAGGTGGGATACACTGGTAAACTGAAGCGCACCATGTGCTCGGTCAACCCATACGTGTATCAACAAACTCGAGAAGTGAGACAAACCTTGAATACCAAGTCGAATGTTACAAAGAAATTGAGCTCGAAAACTGAAAAATTTCAAAAGAGGGGCATTCAAAAACCGAGGTTCCACTGTATTTACTTTCTGTGAATAACTGTGAGTACAGTATTAATCTTGGTAATTTTTATTTCCTTTCTTTTGCAGCTACTTCAGTCAGACCCTACGACTGTTGGAGGAGGATCCATCTGTATACTGTGTGAGTGCATGGAATGACCAGGGTTACGAGCACACCAGCACAGACCCTGCACTCCTCTACCGCGTCGAGACCATGCCTGGCCTGGGATGGATATTGAAGCGTTCCCTCTACAAGGATGAGCTTGAACCCAAGTGGCCTACACCAGAAAAGGTAAGTTGCAAGTAGAATATTTTAGGAATAAAGTTCAAAATGATATAGATTATAGAACCTGTTTCTCCGTAAAGCTGAATGCAACAATATTGATGACTTGCAGTTGTAAAAACAGGTTGACATCAGTTCAACCAAAAAAGTTAAGAAAAGTTCCATTTGAGCAGGAGAAAGGAGTGTTTGAACCAGTACTCGTTGAACTACAGTACTTTTATATCAAATATGGGAAAATACAATAGAGATATATACTGTATATGGCTATGCAGTACAGTACAGTGTACTGTAACCTCATGTAAATAAATATTATTCAGTGGAGATTGTAGTTTGACTTAGCTGAGGTGCCAGATGTATTATTATAAAAATGTGCAAGAATGTTTTCTATCATTTGCAGCAAAAAATATAATATTCCAAACATATGGAAAAATTGTGAATTTAGTGAAAAATAGGAAACTTTGGTTGTAACAGAGCATCATATGCTTTGGTATGAATCTGGTACAAATCTATCTTTTCAAGCTGGAGTACACTTAGCATTACAGTATGTCGAAAACGGATACAGTTTGGATAACTTGCATTCTCGGCTCCAGATGAGTACCCTCTCAGAAATGTTTGAGCCTGTCATTATTACCATGGTTTAATGATATACAAGTAGTATAAAATTAGAGCAAAGCCAAGAGCAGAAATTAATTTTGCAGTCAAGATTTTGTCAACTGTTGTGGGTTGCATCCTAGAGGTCATTAATCTGCCTAGGAGGAACTTAATAATCCAAACAGGTTTAATTTCAGACAATAGAAAACCATGAGATAGTGAAAAACATTTTGGAAAGAACTTGGTAATTAAAAACTATTGTAAGATTTATCTTTGTTGTGAACATCAGAACTAATGTCATTAATTTACTAAGTGTAGTGGGAAAGTGTATGTAATTACGTAAGTGTAGTTACAGGATGAGAGCTATGCTCATGGTGTCCCGTCTTCCCAGTACTCTTTGTTGTATAACGCCTTGAAACTACTGACGGTTTTGGCCTCCACCACCTTCTCACTTAGCTTGTTCCAATCATCTACCACTCTGCAAAAGAAAACTTTTTAATATTTTTTGGCACCTTTGTTTCCTTAGCTTTAATCTGTGTCCTCTTGTTTGTGAAGTTGCTGGTTTCAGGAATTTCTGTCAATTTGGTCAATTCCTGTTAGCATTTTGTAAATGGTGATCATGTCACCTCATTTTCTTCTACCAACATGCAAGTTTTGGCATGTTTAATGCCTCTAGTCTCTCCTCATAACTTTTTTTTTCAGTTCCGGAAGCGATTTTGTAGAATGTCATTGCACCTTTTCCTGTTTCTTTATTGGCTTCTTGAGATTTGGGCACCATACCATATTTGGGCTGCATATTTAAATTTTGGTCTCTCAAGTCATGAACAGTTTCTTTAGTATTTCACCATCCATATAATGTAATTAAAAGCAAGTCTGAAGTTGGAAAGCGACACATACAGTACGCTCTTCTCACAATGTTCTTTGTGGTCCAATGTGAATTTTTCCACGAGTAGGTTTGGTGCATGCGAATGATCACCCTTAACTTGCTCTACCATTCTGCTTGTTAAATTGGTGTATGTTTCATCTTCAGTGCTGTGACCTTAAGATAAATTCTTCTCAATATTTAGTGTAATTTTTCTGCTGCTTCAGATGTGGGATTGGGATATGTGGATGCGTTTAGGTGAGGTGCGACGTGGAAGGGAATGTATTGTACCCGATATATCTCGCACTTACCATTTTGGATCATCAGGACTCAACATGAACTCTTATTTTCAAGACACCTACTTCAAGAAGCACTCCTTCAATACTCTACCATATGTTGAACTACGAGACTTGGATAGGTTTGTCTGAAAACACCTGTTCTCCTAATTGTTAATTGTTTAAAATATTACTTAGAAACAACTGTAGGAGTGTTCCTAGGACATTATGAATTTTATAAAATAGCAATGACCGAAACTTGCCAGTATATATATCATGAAATCAGTTAATTAAGATGAACAAAAAAATTATTTTTGTATTTTAAACTTTGTATCTGATCATAAATAGCACTTCATTTAAACTTTCAAGCTATATTACTTTGTTTTTTAAATGTGGTGATTTATTATATTTCAAGAATTGTTATTGTTATGTAATCATTAAATATTCAATGATACCATTTTATTGGCATTCTAGTTTGAAAAAGGAGGCCTACGAAGAGTTGATAACAGAGATGCTGCGTCGAGGAACAGTATTGGATCACTCGCAGAGTCCTTGTGAAGAGACGTTTGTACCGGATACCACTGGGCACACGTACCTTCTCTTCATTCAAATGAACCACCACAAAGATTACACTACATGGCTGCAAGTTGCTAAGGTCTGTACAAAGGAGGAGATGATCTTAGTGTGAATACCAGACTGGCTGATTAGTTCTCCAAGGATAGTGAATGTTTTAAACTAAAGTCATTAATAGCTGTTCTAGCCTTTATTGGGACAGCATTATTTATAAAGAATACATGCAATAATGGTATAGGGTTGATGAGAAATGTTTTATTTGTTTAGTCTATAAAAACCATGATTGTACTTTGCATTTTAGAATTAATAAAGCAGAAGAGAAAAATGAACACAATATAAATATGAATGATTTGTGCTTTGTTTTTAATTATACACGTGGAAGATGTTGATGGACTTGAGATGTACTTAATCGATGTTAATGTAGTCAATTTATTTAGTTACGGCCCTAAATAGCGTCAATCTCCTTAATTAGTAAACTGTGCTTGCCCAAATTTTTATCACTAAAATCCTGTAAATATACCGTTTTTAATAATCCTCACTTATTTAAACTCTATATTTAACATGGGAACTATAGAATTCCCTGGAGGAATAAAGTCTCAAAAGAAACAAGAAATCAGATATAGAAGAAAGTTTTTTTCAGTTTCCATAGTTGAATATGTATAATTTTGCATGATTATAGTGTGGTGGTGGTCAGTACAGTTGGTTGACAACTAAAAGGTCTTGGGCTCGCTTTCTGAAAGAAGCATGACCGAGATGTTTGGGCTCGTTTCCTTTCACCACATACACCTGTTCACCTATCAGTAAATAGGTATCCAGGAGTTGGGGAGCTGTTGTGATTTGCAACCTGGGAAAGGTCAGCCAATTGGCTAAAGAAGACCTCGATAAGCCTAACAGGTTTCCTGCCCTGACAATGTGAATGAAGCTACATTATTTAGTATACATCACAGTTTAGTATACATCACAGTAAAAACTAAAAAAAAAAAATTATATTACCCCAATTAAAGCTTATCCCCACATCAGCCCTGGATCTCCCAAATATGATAAATAGGTAAATCAAAATTCTGAAGTTAAATTAGATTTTTTTGTCATTTGCAGTGCTTACGTATATGGGACCTTGATGGTCGAGGCTACCACCATGGCATGTGGAGATTGAACATCAAATCTAATCCGCTTCTTATTGTGGGCGTGCCATTCTCACAGTATTCGTGAGTATTTTTTCTGTGCATAATTTTTTCACATGTTACTGTATTTCGTTACATTATCCAGCAGAAAGAAGCATGAGCAAATACAACCCATCTTCCTGTTTAGATAGTACTGTATGAGCTTGATTATTTGGACTATATGGGAACGACCCCCATCCGGATAATCCGAGCATCCTGTTTAGCAGACTTATTACCAGGGAAGTCCCAAAGTGAACATATTCCAAATTTTTTGTACCACAACTAGCATAATTTGAATTGCCACACACAGACTATAATTATAAAATATTCGAGTACAGTACTGTAATTAATTTTAAACAAACTTCAATGTATCTTGTTGTAGTTCGTCTTCTTGATTGATGCTACACATCTTGAAATTACAAATTCTTGAAAATTTATGTAACCTAATCTAACACAACACTAAAACTAACACTTAAAATTACAGTACAGTACATGAGCTTGGCAAGGTTAGTTTTGATTGCAACCTGCTCAAACCTCACTGATTGAACATCCTTGGCTTGTTTGTGAGGCCTCACTGGTTGAAGGCTCTTGGCTTGCTTGTGAGGCCTCACTGGTTGAACATCCTTGGCTTGCTTGTGAGGCCTCACTGATTGAAGGCTCTTGGCTTGCTTGTGAGGCCTCACTGGTTGAAGGCTCTTGGCTTACTTGTGAGTCCTCACTGGTTGAAGGTACTTGGCTTGCTTGTGAGGCCTCACTGGTTGAAGGCTCTTGGCTTACTTGTGAGTCCTCACTGGTTGAAGGCTCTTGGCTTACTTGTGAGTCCTCACTGGTTGAAGGCTCTTGGCTTGCTTGTGAGGCCTCACTGGTTGAACATCCTTGGCTTGCTTGTGAGTCCTCACTGGTTGAAGGTACTTGGCTTGCTTGTGAGGCCTCACTGATTGAAGGCTCTTGGCTTGCTTGTGAGGCCTCACTGGTTGAAGGCTCTTGGCTTGCTTGTGAGTCCTCACTGGTTGAAGGCTCTTGGCTTGCTTGTGAGGCCTCACTGGTTGAAGGCTCTTGGCTTGCTTGTGAGGCCTCACTGATTGAAGGCTTTTGGCTTACTTGTGAGTCCTCACTGGTTGAAGGCTCTTGGCTTGCTTGTGAGGCCTCACTGGTTGAAGGCTCTTGGCTTACTTGTGAGTCCTCATTGGTTGAAGGCTCTTGGCTTGCTTGTGAGGCCTCACTGATTGAAGGCTCTTGGCTTGCTTGTGAGGCCTCACTGATTGAAGGCTTTTGGCTTACTTGTGAGCTGGTTGAAGGCTCTTGGCTTGCTTGTGAGGCCTCACTGGTGAAGGCTCTGGCTTACTTGTGGTCCTTGAAGGCTCTTGGCTTGCTTGTGAGGCCTCACTGGTTGAAGGCTCTTGGCTTACTTGTGAGTCCTCAGTTGAAGGCTCTTGGCTTGCTCATTGGTTGAAGGCTCTTGGCTTGCTTGTGAGGCCTCACTGGTTGAAGGCTTTTGGCTTACTTGTGAGTCCTCTGGTTGAAGGCTCTTGGCTTGCTTGTGAGGTGGTTGAAGGTACTTGGCTTGCTTGTGAGTCCTCACTGGTTGAAGGCTTGCTTGTGAGGCCTCACTGGTTGAAGGCTCTTGGCTTACTTGTGAGTCCTCATTGGTTGAAGGCTCTTGGCTTGCTTGTGAGGCCTCACTGGTTGAAGGCTCTTGGCTTACTTGTGAGTCCTCACTGGTTGAAGGCTCTTGGCTTGCTTGTGAGGCCTCACTGGTTGAAGGCTCTTGGCTTACTTGTGAGTCCTCACTGGTTGAAGGTACTTGGCTTGCTTGTGAGTCCTCACTGGTTGAAGGCTCTTGGCTTGCTTGTGAGGCCTCACTGGTTGAAGGCTTTTGGCTTACTTGTGAGTCCTCACTGGTTGAAGGCTCTTGGCTTGCTTGTGAGGCCTCACTGGTTGAAGGTACTTGGCTTGCTTGTGAGGCCTCACTGGTTGAAGGTACTTGGCTTGCTTGTGAGGCCTCACTGGTTGAAGGTACTTGGCTTGCTTGTGAGGCCTCACTGGTTGAAGGCTCTTGGCTTACTTGTGAGTCCTCACTGGTTGAAGGTACTTGGCTTGCTGTTCTTATCAAATAAGAGTCGAGTTTAGCTTGCCTCCTGTGTTCATTGGCCCCTCTTATGATCAGCTCTTTGGTTCACCTCAGGTATTGATACATGTTTGCAACTTCTGGATTAGCACAGTTGGATAAAATATTAATTAAAATGTCAACGTAAGACATGAGTAAACTGTATTTTGTTGTATGTGTTGTTGGTTCCTCATTGCCATTGTCATCCACCACCTCTTTATCCACCTCACCAGAGCCCACTCAGGTGCACCAGCAGCTCAACCCTGCAGTTCATAAACTGATGTGGGTGGGGGTACATGTTACCTCTGGCTTCACTTTCCTAAGTGGATTTTTGCCGTGTGTGGCTGTGCCAGCTGTGTTGGATGTTTGTGGTGGCCAGGAGTTCTTCTGTATACAGGGCTGCATGCGCTTAGGACTAGCTTCCATAGACTCCCTGTAAGTAACTATCCTTGCATTGTCAGGGTTCTCTTCCCTAGGGCATTCGGGAACTCACTCGCGTTGAGGTCTCCATCGCTTGGCGTTGGCTTCGCCCTTCTGGTTTGGAGGGGGGTCTTTGGTTTCCGTCCTGCCATAGGTAGGGAGTCTTGTGGGACAGGTTCTGCACTTGTGCTCCAGTTTCTCCATTTGTTGTCTGTAGATCTTAGGAGTCAGGCAGTGGCTTCATTGCATGCTAGGTTTTCTTTGTTGCAACAAGCTAGGCTAGTTGCCTGGCTGAAAGCCCTAGAGCTGCCTCCACTTGGGTTTAGGGACCAGGATTTGAGCGGGACATTAGTCACATCGACTTTGGTTTTGTCCATCCCCCTTTCCTTCCTTCCTTCCCAGGTGGTCATGGTTCACCCTGCTACTTTTCAATCCCTGTTGCCGGCTCCTAAACATTTGAGGTTTTCTAGAGTCAGGGCTAGGTTTAGCTTGGAATGAGACTCGGGTAGCTTCGGGGACTGCCCCTTCTGATTCGGGTACAGAGATGGTTGAGCCAGGATTTCCCGCCGAGGCTTCTGGGTCGACCCAGCAGACCCCTTCTTTAAAGCTTTTACCCTGGACTCCGCCTTTTCTTCAGGAGTGGTGGGCATGGAGGGTTCTGCCCCGGGGCCACTGTCGGGGGATCCCGGGGCTTTGGGGGGTGTCCCACGAGGAGCGCTTGGGCTTTTTGCCCCTGCTTGGGCCTTTGTGCCTTCCGGGCTGGGGTTTTGCAGTGGGGAAGAGGGTTTTTTCCTCCCCTCCTTCCCTTCACTTTGGTTTTACCACATTTGCTGGCATGATTTATGAGCCCTTGCATTGAGTGCACCCATTTTTGGCTTGTATGTTTTGCGGTGGTTTCGTAGTTTGCTTTGGCAGCCATTTTGCTCTACTGAGGGGCACTTCCACGCCCGGCCACCAGGGCAGCACTATGCATCTTGTTTATATATGGCAGCTGGGAATTTTTTTGCTTATGTCTTGCGCTATTGTTCTTACCGGTGATTCTGTCATTCCCTTTGTGTATGTAACATAGTTCTGGTTTGGGTTATGTCTGCTCTGTTAGGGGCATGGAGGTATGTGGATTGCTCTGTGTTCCTGTATCCGTGCTGAAGGGTTGTTGGTTGTTTTAAAAAAAAAAAAAATCAAAATGTTTATTTAGGTAAGGTACATACATAAAAGAGATTTTACAGAAAGTGATGGATTTATAGATAGGGCTAGTACATACAATGCCTAAAGCCACTATTACGCAAAGTGTTTCGGGCATAAAAAACTTAAATGACTAAAGCTTAATACTAATTGAGCATAAAGAGTAAAATGAAAACATGGAATGAAAACATAGCTGAAAAAGCAGCACAAATACAATTCTGTCGACAAACAGCGCTCTTTAAAAAAAAACAGACATTGGATGACATTAGAGGGGTAAGGTAGGTTACAGGGAATTTATTAGGTATAGCTTCATTTTTATCTTAAACTGGTTGAGATAGGTACAGTCTTTAACATGGTTGGGAAGGTCATTCCACAATCTGGGTCCCTTGATTTGTAGAGCATTTCTAGTTTGATTAAGTCGTACTCTAGGAATATCAAAACTGTATTTATTTCTGGTGTGGTGCTCATGGGTTCTGTTACAACCTGCTATGAAGCTTTTGAGGTCAGGATTGGCATTACAGTTTAGCGTTTTATATATGTATAATACACATGAGAGAATGTGCAGTGACTTAATGTCTAACATATTCAGAGATTTGAGTAGGGGTACCGAGTGATGTCTGGGGCCAGAGTTGGATATTGTCCTAATAGCAGCTTTGTGTTGAGTAATTAGAAGACGTACTGTTGAGTAATTAGAGGACGGAGGACATTTAGTGAGTTTGTACAGTACTGTACTTCTCTCGCTGTGCTCCTCTTATTGTGCTTGCTGGGGGTCGCAATTTGGCTCTTCAGGCCCGCCTCTTCCCCATGTTTTTTCCTGGGGTTCCCGTTTCTGTGCTTTTGGTGCTCCTGCAGTTCTCTGTAGCATTCACCTTGGCTCTGCCTCCTGCATTCCCTTGCTTCCTCTTCTGCCTCTGAGCGAGTTTTTTCTTGTTTCTGTGGCTCCTTTGGGTACTCGGCTGCCCCCGGTGTCGCTTTCTTGGTGTTCTGCTCGTCTTGAGTCATCCATATTTTTCCTACCGTGTATTGTCTGCAATGGCACGCAAGTCTTTATTTTCTCTCTTCCCCTGGTATTTTGGGTTCTTGGGGTTCTTTTCTCCCCCATTGGTACGTGTTGTTTGCTTTCAGTTCATTCTTTCTTCAGGATTCAGGATGCTGCGACATAGAATGATTGACATTCTATGTCTTGTTTCTTTATCTTCAAAGCGTCCTACCCTGTATGTTCCTCCTGGGGTCTTTTGGGTGATGGTCTTGTCTCACGGTCTTGCATTTACTGACTGTGGTTCTGGGCTAGTTTTTTTCTGTTCTTCTGGGCATCGATTTTGGGCCCGGTGACCTTGCCC